CTGTAACTGTAACTGTAACTGTAAACGTAACTGCAAACGCAACTGTAAACTGTAAATTAAATAATGCTTGCTTTAACCTCCGGCCGAGTGTAATAAAAAGAGCTAGAAAAGTTACGAAATGTTTGGTCCATCACTGCTTTAACCATAACTGTCCCTACATTACTGATCTGATTAGTGGTGTGCAAGCAGAAGTGCTCAGACACATCAGGAGCATCATCCACTACTAGCGATTGAACAGGTACAGGCAAGATGAGAAGAACAAAGTGTTCTACTTAACAGAAGAGAGAAATCAAAGTTACTCATTCATCCACTATCAGCAACGATACAGACTTCTTCGTCGCAGATGAAGGGGCCGATCAAGCAGGATATGTCTAACGCGGTGTCAAATCCGTTACCTACCAGCTGTTGGCGCGAGCAAGTGGAAAGGCTGTATCACATCATTCGTATCAGCCGTTTTCTACAAATTTCTGTTGCTTACCCGCTTCAGCCTTTGGTGGAGAACGTGGAGAAAGGGTTTGTTTTGCCAAACCCATCCCGCCTGACACGCCCTTCATCTGCAGCGAACAAGACTGCCCGTTGTTCGGCAACAAAGGAGTGAAGGGGACCTTCAGACATTTTCATAGAAACAAGAACCATTACCAATACAAAGCCAAATGAGAGCCGGAGCGGGTCATTACTTGCAGATTTGCGGCACTGCCTCAGAAGGGCAAAAGGTAGCACTGTCTCAGTGAGCAAAAACACTTATCACTGAGAAAAGTATGCGTAGAGGTGGGTCGTGAACTTGTTGAGCGCTGAAACGGCGCGCGATAGGAAAGCCATACGCTCCTAACATACCGTCTACCAGAGGCGAGGAATGATGAACGTAGCAGGGGATCCGGTAGCCCATTAATCCGAAAGGAATGGCTCAAACAACTCTTGCTTTGCACTAGAACGTTTATTTCCTTCCCGACACTAAGCTGGAGGCCGATTCTTCATAAGGATCGCGTTGTCGTGATCCAATTAACGATGTGCTAACAGCACAATATACCTCTTATACAATTCAGTACATCACCAGTGGTACCTATGCTCCTGCTGACCATCAAAGTCACCTATGTAGGGGTCAGTCAGGTCTTTATTCGCCACTGTAACGTGCTAGAGTTGGCCAGTGCGTTTTCTGTGCTCGAAGGACAAGACGGACTTCATACGATCTATTCGGAGTACTCGTAAAAAGTCCGAACAAGACGTGGCAATCCTCCTCGGAAGGCGTCGCAAGCATAAAAGAGCATGATCCCGCCCGTGTTTGAACGCTCCCTTGTGCAATGCTGCCTTTATAGGATCCTGGCTGGTCCTCACAAATGATAAGTCTCTCGAAGAGCGTGCCTGAACAGTGAGGTAGCAGCCTTGAAAGCACGGAGCAAATTGCTTGATTACAGTTACAGCTGGTTAGAAGGCTTTTAAATCATGT